GTCTACACTTAATTATTTCCCCCCCCCAGCCCTTTTTTCCTTTTTTTATTTTGGGGGGCCCCAACCCCCCCCCCCCCCCCCCCCTCGAAATCGATTTCTGCACCAATACCACAGTACTACCCCCGGCGTCAGCTCTACCCCCCGAGCCGGCTGCCGAAGCGTCCCCGCCGCAAGAAAACGAATTCTGCGGCGCCTCCTCCCGGCGTCACCGCGGCCGACGCTCCCGACGAGGGAGGAGGTGTGCGGGGTTTAGGGGAGGATTTCGAGGTTAGTTTACACCGGTGGACTCGTGCCGTTCGGTGTGTGTGTTTTGTTTGCTGCCATCGACCGCGCTAACGGGCTGACCCACGAAGATACGCCGGCGGGGTACAATCAAGGTCCCTTGAAGGGGGGGGCGGCAAGATTGCGCAAAACGCGCTGAAATGCGAACGAATTCCACAACGAAACCCTGTACACGTTGTTTCTTGAGAGATACGACACACATGCTCTCTGCCGAACCTAGGGCGCCACTGATGCGAAATGAGTGTATGCGTTTTAGGGCCACTGCTGTGAGCACGCATCTACGAATATACAGGGAGTGGTCCCGCTATAGTCCGGGTATATACCACGCGCTTTCGCCCGCGTTATAGGGAATTACTCCCAATATTCAACGTGTTGAACGCCTTGGTCGTTCCATCTGTGCCAGTCCGTTTCACCTGCTCTACATCACCTCGGGTGCCCGCACCGTAGCGTCGGGCCCCTGACTGTATGCATACGCATATGCCCACCCTCTGTCGTGTACTTTGTTTTCGGTAACACTAAGCTTGAATGGATGTACTCTCTCTCTCTCTCTCTCTCTCTCTCTCTCTCTCTCTCTGCGACCCTCACCCCCCCCTCCCCTCAGATGTCGGCGAGCGGTCCAGCAGAGGGGGACGGGAACGCAGAGTGGGGGGCCGTCGAGGCGAAAGAAGAAGAGGCCTTGGGGCGGGAGGAGGAAGGCGGGCTTTGGCCGGGGGCAGCCGGGAGCGAGAGGGAGAGGGACCACGGGGCTAACCTCGCTCTTCTGCGCGGGGCGGTTATGATGGTATCCAGAGCAATGGGCCACGAGGAATGGAAGAACGGGTGAGAAAAGGAAAGGGAGAGCGGAATCATTCAGTTTATCGTTACTCGCTCTCTCGTGAATTTGTGTTGGTAGGTTTTTTTTTTTTTTCGCATGCGGCGGGAGCGCGCTGTTTGGAACTGAAAGCAGAGGCGAAACGTGGCGGCGGGGAGGAAATTATTTATTTTTTCTCAGGATATTGTCAAGATGACTTGTACAGCCCCCCGTCCTCTCCTGACACACGGGGAACTTCAAGGCAACGACCGCAAGGCAATGGAAACTCCGATCTTTGAAGAAAACCCAGGCGATGTTATCTCTCGATGACAGTACCATGGACGGCGTCCCTCTGTTCCCGACCGTTGTACACGGCAACTAGCATCAACGTGACCATCGACCACAAAACCACCCACAATCGCCACCAGCAATAGACACCAAGCCGGACGAACGTCCTGATGAGCCTCTCGCTAGAATATTTTCCGCCCTCTCGTTTCTGACACCCGCCACTTGTCTGTCTCAACTGCATTAGAAGGTGGGGATTCATTTCTCTCTCTAAAACAAGATCCTCTCCCCCTCTCCTTTCCCCCTCTCCTCTTCGATGCTGTCTGTCTATGCCGGTCTGTCTTTCTGTCTGTCTGTCTGTCTGTCTGTCTGTCTGCCTCTCTCTCTCTCCCTCCCTCTCCCCCTCGCTCTCAGCTACATCAGCAGGGAGGTCAAACACCTGCTCGACAAGAAAGACCGACGCACTGGCGACACGGAGAAGTTCATCGCTGACATGGAGAAGTTCATCGACATGCACGACGATACCCTCTACAATGGGACGGGTCTCTACATGAACTTCGGCGGCAGGCTGTACGGGGGCGCTCGTCAGTACTCCCCGGACGAGATGAAGGCGAGGGGGGACGAGAGATGGCAGGAATCGGTCATGCAGGTGGGTATTGCTGCCAGTGTTGTTGTTGTTGTTGTTGTTGTTGTTGCTTTTGCTGTTGCTGCTGCTGTTGGTGTTATTGTAAGCAATGGTTGTTCCTTTTTTTTTTTTTTTTGCTGTCTCCGTTGATGAAGCGTCTTCCTCCTGCCCCCTTCGCAAGAACCACAACTACAATTGTATGCATCACCGATGATGGGGGGCACACCACACCAATTCGCCGAGGCATCACCGTCATGCATACCGCCGAAGTAATACCTCTCGTCACTCACCCCCCCCCCCCCCCCCCTGCCTCTCGACACGGGTGCACGTAACCCCCAACCCCGCTCAAATATGCCATTCGTTGTTTTCAACTGCATCGCGTGTCCAACAACAACAGCAGCATTCCTCTCTTCCCGTCAAGATGCGCTGTCAGCGATGCACGATAGCCAGGCAGGGCGGTTGAGCACGTGCACCCCCCAAACCTCGTCCTTTTTCCCCGCCGCTCTGCCTATTTCTTTTGGAGGCAGGAGAACCAGCTGGCCCAGGACGTGCGGACGCTGTACGACGGCCTCACAAGGGGCGAGCCGTTCGAGATGAAAATCAAGAGGTGATGTGATGATGATGACGATGACACACTTGCGTAGCCCGTAAGATGGGGCCTCTCTCTTCGCTATTTAGAGCTTGCGTAGAAGGGATTTGGTAGTTTCCATTTACCGTCCCGATTATGTTCACTAGGAAAGAGAGTCAAGACTTGGGGTCACGTGTTTCTGTGTGTACACGTAGGTCGGATACGAAGGGCCGCTGGATGCTTGTGACCGTTGAAGACACCGTGACGACTTGGTACCTATATAAACGATTGTGTTTCGATTTGTTTGCAGCTGGAAACGCCTCTACCCGAAGAGTCCACCTCGACCGTGTGCATGCGCTTAAAACTGGCATCGACCGCCCTCTAGCAGGCTGACCAAGGAAAACACGTCAGTCCAGTGCGGCTGAAATCGAAGAATGGCATCTGCTGTAGTGACCCATGATTTGGTGTGTGTGTTTTTCCTTGAGTACCATCGACCGAGCTATTTGGCCGGCCAATGAAAAGACACCGACCGCTCTTGGCGGCCCAACAAACTCGAGGAAACGCCCCGTTGTCCCGGGGAGCCCCCTTGGGGCAGGAGGGGGGGGGGGGGGTCGCATGGGAGACGTAGGAGACGAGATTGTCCGCGTTTTTTTTTATTGTTTTCATTTCTCTCAAATGCTCTACAGGAGTAGATAGCTTTGTAGAGACCCAGCGAGCGCTGAAACTCGGGGTTGGAGGAGCCGTGATGCGGCAATGTGCCTGCAAGCCACTCGTTTCTATGTAGCTAGCCCTTGGGTGTCGCTCCCCGCTCATGGTGTTCGTGCCGACAGACTATATATGTGTATATACGCCCTCAAGCAAGTCATTCTACCCCCGTCCCCCTACAGAAAATATCTGTATACACGTACTCAAGCAAGCTATGTATCCGCCCCCGTCCCTCGCCGATGGATGACACTCTCGATCGTCGATCCGTGCCCAGGTCGAGCGAGCTGTCCATCAACGTCACCGTGCAGGCGGAGATACCAGCCACGAGAAGATACGAGACTCTCATCTTGAGGGAGGAGAGGCACATGTGAGTTTGGAGTTACTTGATGCTTAGCGGATAGGTCCAGCGGCCAGGCGGGAGGAAAAGAGGGAGTTGCTAACGCGCTGCAAGGAGCCTCCAGTGAGCCTTGCCTCCTAGTTGCATATGCTTGGATGTTTCTCGTGTAATCGGCAGTCACGCCGCCACAACGCCTCGTGATACATGCTGGATTGTAGCTGGATGACACGCGCTCTCTTGTTAGGAGTTCTTGCTAGTGTTTGCTCTGTTTCGCAACAGCGTCGCCTGCCCACAGCTAGTCTCGAGTGTCACCACGCAACAAAAGATGCACCGTTCGGGACTTTCCGCTCTGAAGCTTGTTTGTCATTTTCGCAACCCGACCATGTGGTCTAATCGCACAGAAGAAAACCGTGTGGGGTCAGTCTAGCGTGTTTGCTGTGTGGTGCGTTTTCTGGATAAATTGTCTCTCTCTCTCTCTCTCTCTCTCTCTCTCTCTCTCTCTCTCTCGTGATGGCCAGCTTCTTCACCTCCACAGTCTGCTATGACGTAAGAGAAATATGCATTGCCGTTTCGGTACACTTGGCTGTGAATTTTTTTGCTTTCTTGCAATCCGCAGAACCAGGTTGGGCCAGTCCAGCGTGTTTGCTGTGATGACTTTCCGGATAAGCATTCCCTCTCTCTCTCGGCTCTCTGCCTCTGTGTCTGCCTCTGCCTCTGTCTCTGTCTCTGTCTGTCTGTCTGTCTGTCTGTCTGTCTTCCCCCCCCCCTCTCGCACACACACGACCCGCTCCCTCTGTGTGTCTCCCTCTCTGCTCCTATCTCTCTCCGTCTTCGTCCGTTCATCCATGCTGCCTCTCAAACCAATCACCAAAGCGCGCTGTCGGGACACCCGGCAGACGGTTCTCCCCAGATCAAGCGCATGATCGAAATCGCGGACCCCCACAAGACCCTGGAAGAACTGGCCTACACGAGCGAGATCGAGCTGTCTCAGGTGTGCGACGGATTGGCTTCTAGGACGTTGCTGCTCTTGCGTGTGTATTGCGTGCCTGTTTGGGTTCATTAAGCGGGGTAACTCTGTGCGCGGAGAGAGAGAGAGAGAGAGAGAGAGAGAGAGAGAGAGAGTGGAAGGGAAAGGGAGCGGGCTGCCCGTGCGCGCGTGTGTGTGTTTTTATTGGTGTTCGTCAGTGTACGGGTAGAGAGGAAGGGAGGTGGTGGAAGGGATATAATGAGATACAGACAGAGAGACTGGGCGACAGAGAGACAACGACAGGCGCAGAGAGACAAAAAAGACAGAGACAAAGAGGAGGGACGGAAGGGAGGAGGTCGGGAGGGAGAGAGGGAGGTGAAACAGCCAGTCAATCGATGGATGCCACTCGGACAACTAGAACGGACCGTCGCCGCGAATTTTGTACCCAGCTTCGCCGGCAGGCGAGCGATGATGATCAACACCATTCATCGCTCACCTACGAAAGAATACCGACCCACCAACTTAGTAACAATACCTCGTACGAGCCGACCAACTGTTTTGGCGGTGATTGCCATAGGATAGTTTCATTATTTCCTACGTTTACGCCCGCACGCATGAACAATTCCAAAGACGCGACGACAAGAACAGTATTTTCAAAAAACGGCAGTGGTTCATCACGCGACATTCAATTTCTTGGCGTGCAGATGCTTCGTTTGGCACGGCACCTTGTGTTCTGGGGGTCCGGGCGGGTGATCGACGCTCTCTGCGGCAGCAACCGGTACCAGGTGACTCGCGCTGTTGCTTCTGCTGCTGCTGTTGCTGTTGCTGTCGATGTTGATATCGACTTTTGTTGTTGCTGTTGATGTGGAATGTTTTTGAAAATGTTGCTGTTGCTTTCGACGCTCATATCGACTGTCGCTGTTGCTGTTGACGTCGAATGTTGCTGTTGCTGTTGATGTTTGGTGATGCCGTTGATGTTGGTGTTGACTGCTGCTGTTGCTGGTGCCGTCGAATGTTGCTGTTGATGTGTGTGCTACTTTTGATTCCAGCGTCCGTACCCTCATTCAAGAAGTAATCGAACCTCGATGGACAACCGGAACCTAACTACATTGTTCTCCATTGAATCACTTCGGAAAGTGATATTGGAGTAGGAGGAATGGCATGTGATCGCCCCCTTAACGGAGATATGCGGTCGTAAGTTATGCGTCACCC